CGGAATGAGCTTTGTTTATGTCGCAAAGATGACAGACGCATTATAAGCCGATATTCATGTATCTATAAAAGTATACAGTACCTTTAAAGGTGCGTCGAAAAATGAATCATAATAAATAATAGAAATTAGCAATAATAATTTTCTTTTCTCTCTCGACTCTCTTTACTTATGATTATCATTTATAAATTATTATTTATAAAGAAATCTTATAGATATTTATATTATAGATAACCATTATCTGTTTTAATAATAATTTTAATAATAATTTAATAATAATCTTACAGATGTAATTTATAATAATTTGCTTTAAATCTAATTTTCTCTGCGATCATTATCATATAGCATGCATAAATTAAGATTTTTGATGTTTTAATCATTTTACCGATAAATTTGAATAAATTAAAAATTAATATAAAAATTAAATAAAAGTTAAATACAAATTATTTTTGTTATATTAAAAGTTAATTTTCTATTTTTTAAATGCATTTTTAATTAATAAAGATTGCAAATTCAAACTGATTTGTAATGTTAATTCATCAATTTATCTATTAAAAAAACTTATTAATATAATATATGTAAGCTTTGAAAGTATATTTAGACTGATTTGATGGATTAAATTACTGTCACTTAAATAAATGTTTTTACGTTCTGGTTCAATCATTTAACATTTAAGTAGCAATCAGTATTGTTTAACATAATACAGTTCGAAATACACGTGCGTAAATCATAATTTAGATTAATTCGGATATCGCGCTTCTCGTATTAACCACGGGGAACATTACAAACTGACATTTACAGTTGCGATCGATTATACATGTAACATTAAAACATTCTCTTCGAATGCGAATATTTTACTTAGTGTTAAAATTAACCTATTCGATACCATCTTCTACAGAACATAAATTTTCGTTTTATTAAAGAGAACAATCTCAAATGATTTATCTATCGATAATTCAACATTTTAGTAACGGGCAAATTTTCCACAGATCTATTCGCAACCTACTTTCTCAATTCATGCTACCAATCGCAATTTATCTCAACCAAGTCTGTATATCAAATTTCCCGGTAATACATCGCATAACAATTACGCATCAATATGAGCAGAAATAGCAATAACGTTTTAGGAAAAGAGTATGAAATAAATACTTAATAATTCGAAAAATCTATATACACATATACATATACAAAACTTTCCAACGCACAGAGAAAAAAAAGAAAATAACCAGTAAAACCGACTAAAATATTTCTTGAAGTTACTTAAAACTCGTCAATAAAGAATATTATTAAACTTAAAATATCTTAATTAAAATATTATTCATTGCGGCTGGATTACTCAATAATGCTCTTTATAAAAAGTGGAATTTGTAAAATCAATACCTATAGAAAAGTTCATTTCACAAATTTTACCAGCTAATGAATTAAAATCGCGAATAAAGGCTACATTTCATTTTTTACTGTATCCTTTTTGTAATATATAATTTGAAGGCATAATGGTTCTAAATAAATCAATAAATAAATCAATAAATAAATAAATAAATAAATAAATAAATAAATTAGTCAAAAATATTTGATTGACTTTATTCACACATACAATATTTAATCTGTAACCAGTTTGTCTGCATTCACCAATAAACTACGATATTACCTCAAATATGAGAGCTATTTGTAACGGAAGGAGTTACGGTAATTCCATCGCTAAGTTTAGAACCGATGCGGGTGAGAGTTAAGTATTTAAGACGCTGTTAAAGTTTCACAGACTTTTCCGTGGACTCACTGCCCGGGCTTTTTGAAGAGAGCAGCTGCAACGAGCTCTGCTATATATAAAACACGTTCAGGACACACACGCTCTCGCTTTTTCTCTTCTCGCTCCCTCCCTCTCTCTCTCTCTC